ATTGGCATACAATAGTGCGTATAGAATTAGAATCGACGATATGCCGGTTTGTACTTGTTAGGAATCGACTTACGAGGGCTGGGCTCGGTATTGATGTCCCACGTCCAGCATCTACCGTAATATTCGATGTTGACTCTTGTTCTCTGGTTCTCGGACTCTTTGAGTATGTTTTACAATAATCAAGTCTTTAATCAAGAGAGACCAGGGAAAATCACTATAGTTAAGTAAGAAAAAACCCACAAAGAGACAAGAAGAAGGAACATAGATAAGACTCGAGGCTCGCGTGGAGCGAGAATTTCCAAGAATTAGTGAGGATAATTCGTGGCCATATAACCGGACTTTGTTCTTATTTGTGTGAGACTTTGCTCCTACAAAGGACTTCGAAATACTGAATTAAAAATTATTTGAAAAGTAACGTAAATCAATCGTCTGTACTTCGAGGCTCGTGAATCCAGTTTATATCCATCGGCATACGTTTCGAAACAACTTCCTCGACGATTATCCACCAAAATGATTCGATCAAGCGAACGATTTACCCAATATTAGTCCATTACCGGTAAGAATCCGTGGAAGTTAGCTGAGATCTTGGATCTGATATCCAGCAACAGAGTTGTTCAATCCCTCATTCTAAGGGACGCTGTTCGAAGCTGTAGTTAACAATTAATAAGGACCTTGATACCGGTTAGCGTGGCATTAAGTCGTTAAAGCTGGCGAGATAGATTGGAAAATAGTTGCAACGGCAATTTCGTTAAGTCGGTGCCGATAACGTTTGATCGCGGGTCGATCGCGAGCCACCGTTCTCCACTGTACTTTGCGATCATATCCTGTTTAAAATAAATAAGAGTCTCGCGTTTTCTAAAGGCAAGAATCACGTGTGAGACAGTTCTGGTCCAGTGAAATGAGAGTCCACGGGTCAAACTTATCATTAAACTACTCGTCTCGATTCTTTCGGCAACGTTTCGAAAAGGGATTCGAACGAGCCTCGAGTGAATTAACATCGCCGACTATGATCATTCATTTTTGTGAAAAAACGACTTGGACGTAACTCAGAAACCGGTAGAACGAGATAATCGCAGTTCACTAATAACATAATGGTACATAATTACTAATGAATTATTTAATTTCGGTTGTAATTGCGTATGCATTTTACTGTTCTTGCTGCATTTATGCGAGTAATTCAGGATGCCATGTATTTTCGCTATGTGACCGCGAGGCGCGATGCGTTTCTTCTTTTCCCGACAAGTTTATGACGCGGGTTTACGATACTCTTATTGTACAGTCTTCGAGATAAAATTAGAGTTACAAAGTAGGGAACAGTGAGTGTTGTTAAATATGCATGATGCAGTTGAAGGTATAATCAACTACTGTTCTCACAATCATTGTTATTCAAAAGTATTGTAATAACTATCGAATACTCGATGTGACATCAATGATGAAAGATACTTGTGATTTACTTAGCATAGCTTAGTATTTTAACCCTTTGACTACGGCAGACTTTGGCACGCACTGGCCGTACGGTACGGTACGAATTCATTCGAGACGTCCACTGGGTACGGCGAAATTTTTCGTTAGACATGCATTTCTGAGGAAGTATATTAAAATATTCAAAATACTGAAATTTATTACATTAAACGAATATTACTTGAAGTGAACATTAATTTTAAGCTTTTTTTAAATAACTTTCTACATTACTCTACATTACCATAAGACCAATTAAAAAATTTTAAAATAGGCGGAACAAGCGAAATTTGATTTGGACGCCAATTGGCGCCTACAGTACCGGGAAGCCAATATGTTTCGGACGCCAATTGGCGCCAACAGTAGTCAAAGGGTTCAGAAACATAGAAAAAGAAAAGATGTCCACTTATATAAAAAGTTCAGGAACTCAAACGATTAAAAAATCGTCGTGTCGTGTGCGAAATAGAGCTCAATAAAGACTATGTAACGAAGAAAATATACTTTAAGTAGAAGAGACAGAGAGAGTCCATTGAGGCGTCTCGTATTCAAATTCGACGTCCACGAGCGTGACCGTGTCGCGTAATCGATATCGATAGGTGAGCACAACTACCGGATGGGGTGCGTCGTCCTTTTAAAGTCTGAGACGTAATCTCGGCCGGGCACGTCAGTCATTCCCCGAGCGTTATCTCGCTCGCATCTCGTTGACTCTATTTTACCCAGCTTGCCGCGCCGTTTAACCCTCCGGCACCGCGACAGAAGCGTGTTTCAAACGCGTGCTGCATACTCGCCTATAAATCCCTACCGTTTACGTACATGCCGCGTGTTTCACCTGTTGATCCTGCGTACTTAGTAAGTTTCATGTCTGTTACTGTGCCGAATTTTTGCTTGAATCAAGTGTTCATCGTTCGCGTGTATAAAAGGATTGATATCATTTCTCTAGTGATTATTCGGGATTCGGGCGGAAATAAGTTTTGCTAATTATTATATATGATATAACTGTATATTTCCAAGTACAGAATTGTATACAGTGTTGAAGAGTTCAGAGGAACAGTGGCAAATATTATACTAGCTAGAGTTGGTCATTCAACAATTTAACCCTTTACTGAATCATATTTCATTGAACATTATTAGTCTTGAAATGATGACAGGTTTCATGTATAAAGATTGATATCACTTATGTTGTTCATAAACTCTCCCTGTTTTCATATGTTTCAACGACCGATTGAAACGGCGTCGAATACGCGGAAAGAGGCCGCTATGCAAATATGTTACAAATAGTACCGGGAACAGCGCATTTGAAATGCCAGCCGGTATCTGAACTCGTGGATCGGTTTTGACTGAATACCTCATTAGAGCGGGACACCGGTTCTCGGTAAAACGTCGTCAGGCGTGTCCTCGAGTTCGTTTCGTCGGCAAAATCGACGTACGCCTTTCTTTCCCCCGAGTGAAATTCCGTCACGGTCGCTTTTTGCCATGTGATTCGCCGTTTATAGTAAATAAATTATTTACGGCTGTTCCGATCGGCTATAAAAACGTGTTCGTTTCTCTTATCGTGACCCCTCGGTACCCCTTGGAAAAATCTCGGAAAAATAAAAAAATTCTTT